TCTGCATTGCTCTATAAATCCCCCAAAGGAGGAATAATGAAAACACTGATGGTGTCTGGATTGAAACTGTTGTTTCTCAATAAAAAGCATCCGGCCTCCCACCCAGGCACCCTGACACCATCAGCCTGCCCATGGCAAAGCCCCTGTTCCTCCTTGTGGTTGCCCACTTCAGCCCCTCTGAGTTATTTTAGTAAGGGCTGTACCCCGAGGGATGGGGTGGCAGGGCTGAAACGTGGGCTGCAGGATCCTGGGGATCCAGGTGCTCGGTTTAACCTCAAGTTCTGGGAAGCAAAACAAAGCTGAAGTTTTCAAAGTGACTCCATTTAAGATTATCAAGAAGCAGGGAGTTTAATGTCAGAACACTGCTTAGGGTTAGCTTGCTTTGGGGTGGCGTGTCAATTGCTTTTTTTATTATCAGCCTAATTTCATAGTGGAGTATGTAGGACGGGGGAAAAAAATATCCAAGTGCTACAGGGAATTGACAGATGGTTCACGTTTTAGCTGAGGCTCCAATATGCATGGGGACGGCTTCTTCAGCACTTTATTTCTGGGAAAATTGTAACAGGCAGTGCACTAACTGCATTGATTTTGTTAAAGGGTATGGAGAAGAGCGAGGGTTGTACAACATTCAGTTATGGCCGTGAGCACTGGTCCTCCTGGGCTGTATTCCCAGAGCAACTGAGACTGATTCCAGCGACCTTGGACAAGTCAGCAAAATCGTGGTTCTGCCCTTAAAAGTGACTGGGTAAAAATGGCACTCTCCTACTCAGCAGATCTGATCGCTGTGTGTGCTCCAAGTCACATCTGCTGACTTTAGTGACAAAAATAAGTTTTTTTTTATGGCTTTCCTGCTCTCTGAGCACTGCAGAATCGCAAGAGCTGGGAAAGCAGAAGCTGGATCCTGAGCCTTCCTGTAGGATGGATTGCTAAAAATTACAGTCAGCAGTGGGGCTGCTCTGGCATCGCTTGGCCTTGCACAGCTTTTGTTAGTGCCAGTGGTGATGAACGTGGAAGAAAGGGATCCAAGGGGATCCTGTGGATTCAGTTCTGATTGCAGATCGCATTTACTGGGTTTTCAGTTTGAGGCAAAAAAATAAGAATAAAATAAAATCTGTTCATCTGTAAGATGATCACATTTCGAATAGAACCATTGATTGGCCATAAACTTCCTCGTGTTTTTCAAAGTGGGCTTGTTTTACACATAGCTCCCTGCCTGTAAGATGGGGATACTGTTCTCACTTTCACATCAGCCTGATTTAGACTCACTGTTGTGCTGTTCCAGTGACTCCTGTTTAATGGGCAGAGTAGGTCCCCTAGAACAGGTGCTGCCAGCTGATATAAAGGTGGATGGTGAAGTAAAAATACAGACGGAGGTGTGCGCTGCTTTGTGTGCTGAATGTCCCCGATATTCAATTTGGGAACATTGTTCAGCAGAGAAATTAGTGTTAACTATTTTAAAATTGCCTTTACCTTCTGTGGCATGTCCTGACATACTTAGGATACCTGACAGAGTCTCACCACAGATGCCAGGAACCGTTGTAAGATGCGGTAATCTGCTGTCAGGACAAATGATGTTTCAGTTCATGTTGTACATACGCATACAAAATGTGCCTTCATGTAAATTTTGAGGTGACCCAGTCTGTTAATTAGGACATGTTATTTGTACTTCTGGGGCTGAGCAATAAGGCTGCAACAGGGATATCACCTTCTGAAGAAATCTGCTGCATTGTGCTATTGCTTCCTACAGCAGGGGTTGCTATTATAATACCATGCAGATCTTACAGGGGACTCTGACAAAAACTACCTATTGCCATTTCCATTTTACAGAAGGAGAAATGAAGGCAGAGAGCAACAAAGGTGAGTTTTGAAAGTCATCTAACAATTCAGAGCCAGGGATGGGACAGGAGTCCCGTGCTATTTTTATAGCTATGCTACCCGCATGGAAGAACAAAACAGCTTACATCCCTCTGAATTTCACCTGAGCCTGTGGGAAATCTTTCAAGGGTGAGACCAATAAATAGAGGCTGGAACTGAAGTGCCTCTAACCAGAGCACTGGTAAGAAGGGGAAGGAATACAAATTTCTTAACTTGCTGTGAAGTTGGATGGGTTTTGCTTGGTTGCGTGTATGCTCTGCAGCATACTGAGCTGAGTTAAAAACCAGCATTTCCAATTAATAAACCATAGAAATGAATAACAAAGCAGTGCTCTTCGTTGATTTCTGAGCTGAATTCTGCCTGTTCCATCGTGCATCCTTCCATCACGTTTCAGTCTGCAGAATTTTTGTTGATCATGCAGAAACACATGATTTTGGCAGGTTATGCGGGGTAGAGAAACTTGCAGTGTATGGGGAATTTGCAATTTCAGATGGGGGAAAAACAGCTATTTTGGTTACAGTGTTTATCAGTGAGATATTTAACCTTGAGAGTACACAGTGACGGTCTGGGTGCAGAGTTGGTTACCCAGAGAAATGACAAGGGGAAAGCAAAAACCTCTCCAGTCTGGTAAGAACTTTAGAGAACAGCAGAGCATCAGCTACATGTGCTTTACAATTTTAAAATTGCCCCCATAACTTTAAAGGTTAGAAGAAAAGTGGAACTGGTTGAATATAAACCCCTCATTTGCACTTACAGGTTCACACCAAGGATGAATTTTGTACCTACTGAAGCCAAGTCTCTGGCTACAGCCTGGTGGCCTCCTTGCCAGCAGCTCTGCTGTCTGCGAGGGGAATCTCCCCCTCCCCGTGCACGGGTGACTGAGCTGCCTGTGATCAATTCCTGAACCACCACAATGTGCACTGCTGCGTTTTAAAATAAGCCCTCATTGATTTCAGCTTGCTGTAAGGTCTTGCTACACGGGTAACTCCAGAGCTGGTGCCCCCTCCGTGTCTGAGCCATCCCCTCTGCTGAAGCAGAGCCCTCAGCCAAAACGAGACGAGGAGAATGAAGATAAACCTGCAGAAAGTTTTGGGTCCCTAATCTGGTGTTGAATGGTGTTTAAAATGGCCACAAGAATGCAAAACTTATCCTTTTTTTTTTTTTTTTTTTTTTTTTTTTTTTAATGAAAGATTTTGCAGCACTAGAAATATTAATTCATGAATAGCTTCCCAGATTTTACAATTCATAGCCGGAAAGCCAGAAGTGACTGTTCCAATCACTTTGTGTGACCGTTTACTCCATCAAACCTAGCTCCGGAGTTCCTTTTGATGCCTTTTTGCAATGGCTGCCTTTACTGCTGATCCAGGCATTTTTACACTTTATTTTCAACTTATGCAGAGGTTAGCAATATTACTCTGAAAGAAATTGCCCTGACCTACAACAAATCTGTCTCTTAAAGTTTAAATACTGGATGCAGAATGCTTAGCAAAATGAATTGGGTTGCTTCCAGTTTGGTTGAATTCCAGTAGAAAACACTGTGTAAAATTAGATAGGTAAAGCACTGGGGGAGTGTAGCAAAGAGGAGAAACCATGATATAAATGGTATTTCCAGGAGCACAACAAACAGGAAAAAAGCAACTGACAAACAAACAAACAAAAACAGAGCATTTATTGATGAGGAATAGCTCAGTTTTCCTTCATCAGTTATTTATTTGGAGAGCCAAGTGTTTGGCAGGTGCACGCAGGTGAAATCTCACTCCCGCCTGAAAAATGAAGCCTCATTTTATAGATTATTATGAGTGGAAGCACAGAAGAATTTACTCATTTGCTTCATGTTCATAGCAAAGTCAAGATTTTGACTTTCCTTGTCATCTCCTGCATTATTTCTTTATTCCCTCCCAGCTATCCCCCCTCCCCCCCCAGCCTCTCTGTCTCAGCCCTTTCCTCCTCTGGAAGATTATTTTTCCTCTCTTCTCACCTGTCCCTGCCCAACGAGAAGGGTTTGCACCTGCTGCAGCACCGCTTCCAATGACTCATTGCCCAGGAGCGTATAAAATCCTGGGAGTGCAGCTGGGTCCTTGTGGTGCCCCTGATGCTTAGCTGAGGGGAAGGGGAGAAGCTGCTTTCTTCATTTTTTTTTTTTGGAGACAAGGTATGAAATTGTTAGTTGCAGTAATTCTCTACTCTTTGATGAAAAGAGGGTGTGTACCTTGGGAGCTGGTGGTGTAAAGGTTTTCTATTTCTGCTGATGGTTTGGCTGCAGGGATCCCTGTGGAAAAAACATCTGGGAAGAAGAAAGCAGGAGTAAAATTGTTTTTTTTTTTTTTTTCTCCCTAGCCAAATAGGTGTTTAAAACAACAACAAAAAATGAAACAAGCCCTTTCTAATATGTGTATAGGTGAGGTATTCTTTCCTTAAAAAAACCAAAAAACAAACCACTCCGCAGAGAGAGTGTTAGGGGAAGGTGACCTCTAAAGCTGAAGATAGTGGAGGAGCATCTCTAATGCTTAGAAGACTGCTAAAAGCACTGCAGGCCTTGCTTTTAGGTTTTCTTGCAAGCCTCCTGCAAAGGGAGGGCACCTGCCTGGTTGGGTTTGGACCCTGGCTCTTGTAGAGGAGTTGGAAATCAAGTCAGTGGTTGGTTTGTGTATGGTGTTGAGCACTGGGCTGGATGCAAGCTTCCTTCAGCAAGGAGTGAATAGCAGGTGGGCAGTGGGTGACCTCTCTCAAGCAGCCTTAAGGGGTGCAGGCAGCCCTAAGACATGGTCTTGTGTTGCAAGCCCTAAATAATTTTTGATTTTGACCCTAAAATTTTGATTTCCCAAAGCAGTCATAGAATGCCTTAAGCTGGAAGGGACCTTAAAAATCAAAAATATCTAGTTCCAACCAGGGGGAGGGGATGCTACCCAGGGCTGGAGCATCCCCAACCTCTCTGGGCAGCCTCTCCCAGTTGCTCCCCATTTTCTGAGTGAAAAATTTCCTATTTTTTCCCCTATTTCCTCCAGCCCTCGCTCCGGGCGGGGTACAGCTGCCCTTTGGGGAAGGGGCTGGGGACCCCCCCCGGGCTTCAGCACGACGGCTGCGCGGCTCGGTGCTGGCAGGGCCGGGCCTGCCTGCATCCATCCCTCCCTCCCTGCCTCCATCCATCCCTCCTTCCATCCTCCTCCTCCTCCCCAAGCGGGGGCGGTGTCGCGGCCGCCCCGCCCCGGCCCCGTGCGGCCCCGGGATGCTGCGGGGGAGCGCGGCCAGGAGCCGGGGGGCCGGGCGGAGCTGCTCCGGTGAGCCCCAGGACATTGGGGGGGGGGGGGGCTGTGATTTTTGGGGTGGGAGGGTGATGGAGGGTGGCTGAAAAAAATAAACAAAACCCCCTTTGTTCTAGGGGAGGGGGTGGGAGGTTCACTGTGTTCATTCATTTTAATTATTTTAATTGATTAGCGTTGTCTTGCACCCGTTTTGTTGGGGGGTGGGGGGAGAGCAGCACCCCTCTATGGAAAACCCAAACTGGGGCTCGGGGGTGGTTCAGTCGTCGTTGTGGGGGGATGTGTACCCCCCTGCTGTGCTCCTGGGGCTGCTCGGGGGGTCTCCAGGGAGCCCCGCTGGGGGGCAGCTGGGGCGGGGGGCTCTGCGCTGCCCTGCGGCTGCGGGCGGGGACAATGGGACGGGGCCGCAGCGAGCGGCCGTGCTGGGTGGCATCGGGGCTTGAGCCACCCTGAACCCTGTTCCCTCACCGAAAAGCCAGATCAGCCCTAAAAATGGCCTGATGAGGTTCACTTGGTGTTTAAAATCCTCACCTGCAGAGAGTTGCGGTCTATTGTGTGGGCTCGCTGGGCACTGAAATCTCCGAGTGTTTCTTGCTTGTTGGAACCCCAGTGCTACCTCCCTGTGCCCGGTGAACCTGGAGAATGACATCTCCGTGCCTTTGCTGTTTGAAAACTGTTCCACCCTGTGGGCTCCCCCTTAAAACAGCCCTCCTCCAGGTCCTTTTAATCGCTCAGCAATTCTGCACACCTCTGACTTGTGCGGTGCTGGGGACCTGGCGCGGGTCAGAAGCCCCGAAGAAGTGCACAGCTTTTGCTCTCAAATCCAAGCAGGGACTGGCATAGGTGGTCTGTGCCCTTCTGAACAAAGCCATCGCTTAATGGCTGGGGGGAATAATGCCTGAACCATGTCTCTCACTTCTCAAAGAGCTGCCGCTGGAACACAAATGCTCCGAGTGGAGGTAATGTATTATGTATTAAGGTGCCTCGCTAGGGCTGGCAGCAAGCTGGCTGTACTGAATAATCTCATTTCTTTGCTTATAGCAATGTGTCCTCAAAGCTAGAGGAAGATGTGTGCCCTTCTGAGCGATACACAGTTGTGCCTGTGTGGTTTTTGCTCATCCAGCTTGGGCTGTGTTAGCAGAATGCATGGGGTGGTTATTGCTGGGGTTTTGTGGTGAGCTGCTGGAGGTGGCTGAAGTCTGTTTATCTGAAGTATGTGCTCTAAGAGCACCGGTCTGCAATTCACTTGATTCAACTGGATGAGGACAATGTAAGAGGAAATGAAGGCATTTTTCTCAGCTTGTGCTCAAAAGTAGGAGTTGGAGCTCTGCAGTATCGGATCATTTATCTGCTGGCTTTTGCATTCAGCACAAGCAGTAAGGCTTGGATAGCATACATTAGCACTCCAGTAACATACCACTCGATTGCTGGCGGTTACTTGACTTGGACACTTTGGCTAAATCTTTGCATTAAAAGATTTGCAGTGTTTCTGTCCAATTTCCCATACCAATTGGTGGAAGAATTGCAGGGCAGAGCCTGTTTATGACTGTTCAACTGGTCAAAGCTGGCATATCCAAGCGTGTACTGGAGGTGCAAAAGGCTGTGTTCTGCACAGGCTGGGCAGTGATGTGTCTGGAGCAGACCTGTTAATCTCCTGTGCTCCGCTATGTGATGTATGCAGCCTCTTCAGCTCTGGAGTACAAGTGTTCTCTCTGTGTGGGAGAGGGATTGCTAGAGCAGGGTTATTAATTCAAGTGACTTAAAAGGCTGATCCTCTTCTCTTGCTGGTTCAACAATTTGGCAAGTTCTGGCTATGTTTTCCTGACAGCAGAAAATAACAGCAAATGGTTTTCTTGGGTGTTACATCAAGTAAACTGGGCAAAACCATGGAAAACTGTCCAAGGGAATGGCTGCATGCAGCTGGGTGGAGAGGGAAGTTTAATCCATTGCAGTGTGCATTCATGGATTGCTGCTCCATGTCAGGAGCAGCTATTGAACTAGATGAATCTGTGCTTGTCCCCTTCCAGCCTGCTGTTGGAGTGATAATAACAGGTTGGGGTTCCTCTTGAGCTTGCTTGTGTCAGGCTTCCTGAGGGCTGATGCTACAAATGGGTCTCTAAACTTGATGGAGGGGAGCTGATGGTTTAATAGCTACTGCTAAGGCTAATTGTATGGAGAAAGGAAGCAGCCTGCTTCAGGAAGATCTAGCTGGGTCTGTGAGGCTTGTCACCATGTGAAGCATTTGTATTTATTGTCCCCCAGCTTGGTGACTAGCCAACAATAGCAGGCAGTTCTTTGTCTGAGCATCTCTGAAAGATGCCCTTCAGTTCCAGCGCTTTTTTTTTTTTTTTTAGCCTAGCAGCCCTTTGTGCTTCTTTCCAGCTCACCAGGAGTTAAAAGAGAATTTTCTGTGCTAAAGGTGAAGCTGCTTGGCTCTCTGCAGCTGTGCTGCCTCTACAGACAGGGGGATGGCATCTCTTGGGATATGCTTTGTGCAGGGAAGTAGCTGGTGGTGTCTCCTGCCCCCCTGGGTGTGTTTCCTACTTGGAGTGAGGATTAGTTCTCCCCAGAGCCTGACCACTGCTTGATAGCTGTCCTCCAGGGCTTTAGCTTGGAGAATGCCAGGTGAAATATGGGGATGAAGTGCTTCTGCAGCATGAAATACTGGGTTATCCCTAGCTTCAAGCTAGAAACGAAATACCTTAAGCCCATGATAGCAGAGGTGCTGGGTCAAAGCAGCATGCTCCAGCTTGCTTTCTCTTGGTTACAGCAGGCTGATCATACATCCAGACAGGAGGAGGGATGTGTAGCCCAACAGCTTGAGTAACAGGCTGCTGAACACCTCTGTTCAGCTGCTAAATCCTGGATCACTTGTATCAAGTGGGAGTACTACAGCAAGGTGTTAAACTCTGTTTAAGTAGATAGCTAGGTCACTACTGTTCATACACTGTAATCCAGCCTCTTCCTAAAGTTAAGTAGATCTTAAGCTCTGACTAATCTTCTTTGAAGCATGAACTTGTGCCATTATCCTACAGCAAGCTCTGTGCCACTGTCTCTGGATCTTATTGAGTGCAGAGGTCTAGGTTAGCTTAGATCTAGATGTTGTGGATTTCCTGAGCAAATAACTTTCCACTGCTATCTCTCCCCTCTACAAATGCAGTGCTTTTCAGCCTGGGAGAAGCTGCACGAGGCTGTCTGAAGTTCCCCAGGAACTGTGCTGTCAGGCTTGTACCGAACACTATCCATGTAGTGGGTAAAAAAAAAAAAAAAACACCCCTTGATATTTCACAGTGTCTGATCTCAGCTGGCACTTGCTAAAGGGGTGTGAGGTGAATATCACTTAAATTCATACAGTGAGGCTGATGCATGTTACTGAGCACTACTCATTTGCAGAATATATTCTGAGTTCTTTTGAATTATGAAAGCATGTAAAGGACTAACATGGAAGAATTGCTGAATACTATCAGTTTTCAACTATATTCCCCTCAGGGTGGAGGAGATGGATGGGTGGCCGCCCATCCTCTGGGGAAAAGAGCTGCTGAAAAAGCAGGAGGCATCTGTGCTGTTGCTGGTGGACAGCTTCTTGGTGGCTTCTGCTTGGAGCCTGAGCACCTGGTGCATGTGTGTGGCCTCTGACAGCAATTTACTCCAGCAGCTCCAACCCCTGATGAACAGGGCTGTGAGGAAATTGGGGGAAAAATGTCTCTGCCCAGGAGGCTCAATCAGATAATGGAGCATGCAGTAGTTGACTCCAATGAGCTGTTTTGGCTGGTAATGCTGAGGTTATTGCATGTGCTACAGCCAGGTGTATGGATTGTAAGGTGCATAGCCCTTGTGGGAGCCTTCAGCTGGAGAAATCTGTGTGGAGTAAGAGGTACACTTCCTGATGGAAATGCACAAAGAGCTGAGTGACCTATTATTATAAGCTTTCTAGTGTATTATAAGCTTTCTAGTACCCTCGTTGTGTCTAGCTGATTGGATACATACAATAACTCCTTCCACAAGAAGAGACAAATGTACATGAACAGCAGGACTCAGGGTCTTTGTGTCAGATGCATTAGCACAAATGCTGGTATTTCTGAAGTCCTTCACCCTGTGGCAGAGGCTGCCTTTTGCACAGCATCACCAGGTTGTGTGACAGGGTATGGAGGGATGATGCACCCTTGTGTAACAAAGCAGTGCCAGGCAGCTTGCTACTGCACTGTGTGTACAAATGTAAATATGTACCTACATTTTGGGTAATATTTACTCTGATTTTGGGTGTGGAGGAGTATAGCAAGCTGGGGAAGATGACTCATCCTTGTGTCCATGAGTAAAGGTAACCTTTGCCTAGTTCCATGAGGACTGGGGGTGGTTCTGACAGCCACAGCTTTTCCTCACTAATATCCCTTATCCCCCCTGCAGCTTGGAGGAAAGGCTAGTTCCTACAGGCAGGATTTTCCATAACAGGTCAGCCCTGACAAGCCTCACGTTTCCTTTCTATACTTGGTGAAGGACAAACATAATCAATGGTTACTTGCAAGTCTGATGCCTGCTGGGTGGAGAATAGCATTCCATGGGGACAAGAGCTTGGCAAGGTCTGCATCCTCAATTTGAGATTTGGTTTTGTCTGCTTAAGACCTTGAATTGGTAGGTTAGGAAGAATAAAATGAGATATGGGGATCCATTGATTGGGATGTGTGGGAGGGATCTGCACAGAACTGGCCATGGATTTCCATAACCATCTATTGACCCCCATGCTCTGAGTAACTGGATGATTTTTCAGACATGAACGTGTGTAATCTGGGTTTCTTTTCTCCCCTTTCTAGGTCTTGCTTTTTGGACTTGTCAGCCTTGTGGACTTCTGCACACACATCTGTTCAGCGATGAGTAGATCAATAGGATTTAACATCTGTGTGGTCACCTGCTGCATCTTGCTTCTGTCCTCCAGGCCACCATGCCTTGCCTCTCCACTCCCAGAGGAGAGTGATGTGACAAAGGTCCAGCATGGCCTGTGGGCAGGAAATGGGGTAGAAGATGAATGGACAAGCATGCCAGACTTAAATAACCTGGGCCCTTCTGAGCAAACTGCCTCTGAAGAGCCATCGGGAGTGTCAGCAAAGCCATCTGGGATGCCCTTAGATGAAGCCTTCACTGCAGGAGGAGAAATGCGGCCTGTAAGCCCAAGCCATGTCTTCCTTGGCAGCCAGAGCCTGGGTGTTAGCACCCCTGCTGTGGCAGTGGCTGCTGAGGAAGAGAAGGAGCTCAGCCCTACAAAATCAGAGCTGGATGAAAGTGGAGAGTTCAAGGCCATGCTGACCACAGCTGTGACCACGCTGAACCCCTCTGTCCAGGAGGAATCTGTCAGCAGCCCCATCAGCAAGGCCACCACGGAGGACTGTGAGGTCGGGCAGGGCTCTGCCAGCCTCTTGGCAAACCCTCTTTCTGTGACAGCAGCAGAGGAGGGGACAGCAGAGAGCAGCCTGCACCCCTCAGCTGCACCCCAACCCCACAGCGAGTGGGTGCCCACGCTGCACCCCAGCACTCCCAGCCTGGAGATGGTGAGTGACCACCTCCTCCCAACCCCACAGGCCTCAAGTGCAAGCTCTGAGGTGGGAACACTAAAAGCAACCACAGGGAGCACTCTGAGGCTACTGTCTGCACGAGGAACCACTGCTGCAAGCCACCCGCTTGTGACCACTGAGGCCTCTCCACATCTGGAGGCAGATGTGGGTGCTGGGCAAGGAGAGCTGCCCACCACAGCTAGCACCGTCAACAACCCCCCTACCAGCTCCATGCTGCCTGACTGGGATGACACAAAACCGGGGAATATAAGTCAAGGGGGAAGCATGCAGTATGAGGAGGTGGGAGAGGACCGAGTGGCAATGGAAGCGTCCCAAACCCCCCTGGGAAGTGAAGAGGAGGAGGTGGTGAGAGTGGTGCCATCCCCAGCATCTGCTCCACCAACTCCAGGGCTTGCCAAGGAGAGCAATTGCACAGCTCCAGCAGTGCATGGGGATGGTGAGTTGGTCACTTCCACAGCCAGCAGCGATGTTCCCCTCACTGTGGACTCACCAGATGTAGACACTGCTGGTCTGAACTCTCTGGAAAACATAAATGTGGTCACAGCAGAGGAGAAGAGCATCCCTCCATCGCAGCCAGAGGCTGTTGTGATGACAGATGCATCTGATCTCTCTTCTACTCTGGAAAGCTCAATGAAAGGTAAAAACCTGCTTGTTAACAGGCACTTGCTTCTAAGTGTAGGTTTAGGAGGGATGCTCCTGTGAGTCTGTGCTTCCTTTCATAGAGATAAAAGCAAAGAAAGGTGTGATCTTCCTACTTGCAGCAGAGGTGGGACACGCCTTTAGGAAAGGCTGTGAACTTTTGTTTGGGGGTAACAGCTTGAATGGGTAACTTGCATCCATCACCTGCTGCTGCTGTAGGGTGTTCCTGTACCCAGAGCACAGGCTGGCATGGTCACTTGGGTGCTACACTGCCCTGAGCGATGTGAAGCCACTGCTCTGAGCTGCCTGCTCTCCTCCTCAAGCTGAGAGGACAGCTTTAGCACCAAACAGGCAAGCTGGGCCTCAAAAGGCTGTGGTAGCTGGGGATGAAGGATATGTCTGAAGTTCCTGGTTGTCTCCTTGCCCTAGAGCAAAGTTGTGGCCAGGCTCTGACCCTACAGTGCTTGTGCTGCCCTACCTGCATACATGGCACTTTCAGCCCACTGTCAACACTTCCACTTGTGTTTAAAATGCTGGGGGAAATGTTTGGGCAGTTGTGGGGCAGCAACATATTTCTAGGCTGGTGAGGGATGTGAGCTGTGGCTTAGGACTCTGTTTTAATTGCTAGACACTTCTAATTTTGCCTTTTTGGTTGTAGGGGCAAAGGGAAGGGCAAGGGCAAACTTCCCCTTGCTGCATCCGGCAAATATAGCTCTTGCTGTAAAAGATGGAAAGCTAATTGCATGCTGGTGCTGAAAATAGACCAATTAATTTCCAGATTAATTTATAACCACTTGACTTGTCAGCAGGTTCCCCTGTGCTATTCCCAGGTGTTGGGGAAACAGCAGTTATCAATAAGACTTGTGTAGTGAAAATAAACCCTTTTACAAAGCTGGAGTTTAGCTCTAAGAACTGGCCACCAAAAGTACCCTTCTGGCAGCCTTGCTTGTTTTGAGGGGTGTTTCACCATGGGCCTGTGGTGCTGTGCTCAACAGTAGGTCCACTTGTCCCTAAGGGCTGGCTAACCAAGTGGACATATTCTGCTGCTTTCCCTTCTGTTATATGGGGGGTCTCTTCTGTTTCTACATTGTAAAACAGCTGCACCTGCTGCTTGCACCATAGCTTGGTAAATGTTAATGTATGGGGTTGATCCTTCAAGTGTTAATTCTGTTGCTGCCTGATCACAAACCAGCAGCTGTCCTGTGAGCTGGTGCTGATGCTTGTTCTTGCTGTAGGTGCTACTCAGGAGGTGACAACTGCTGCCCAGGAGGCTGATGCTGCTCTGGTTGTGACGCTGGCACCCGCTGCTCCCCAGGGAACAGGAGCCCCAAGCCTGCCCCAGGAAACCAGCGGGGAGGACACCCAGATGCCAACTGCTCCTGGTGCCACCCAGATGCTGACAGCAGCTGGCAGCTCCACAGCAAGGCCTCCCGATGTGGAAGGTAGGGTTCTGCTTCCTGCTCTGCAGGCTTGTTTCCCCCACAAGAGACAACACTACATCTGGAATCAGTATCAATGCTTAGACACTGAAGTCTTAACACACAGCATCCAGACTCAAACTTGCTTTTTTTCCTAGCTTTCTGCAGGCTGCATCTAGCCTTGGGCTGCTGCTGCGTTTTGACTGGGCAGATCCATCATGTTGATATACACCAGCAGAGCAGAATTTTTGCTCCAAATAACAGTGAAGTAGAGATCTTAAAAATACCAAGCAAAACCTCCACATCTATTCTTGCTAACAAGTTGACTTTTAGCTTTAATCATTTAAGCCAGCTCCTATTTGTGGAGGGATTACTTCTGGTTTGCTGATGCTCAATCTAAAGGAGCAAAGAAGTTTAAGGCTAGAATATGGAAGTGGTATAAGGGGTTTTTCTTGTGAGAATCCAGCTCTCATTGAGCAATAGTGAGTTCTTGATTCTGTTGTGTGCAGGGTTGATGTAACTCATACAGACATAATTTAAGTAGTTATGTTCCTCCAGCTGCTGCTTACTAGCTTGGTGTCACCTTGAGAGGTACGTGTAGGAGCCCTGACAGGAGTGTAGCAAGGGTTCCCTTGGCACAAAGCTGACTTTGAGATCAGTTCTGTTGTAGTCCCACTGCAGTGAAACAGCTGCTGGGCAACTTTTCTGGTAGTTCTTATAGTGCAGAGCATCAAAGGAAGAAATTCATTTGCAATGTATCCCTTACAGTAGGGTTGCTCTGCAGGGGAGAGAGGGAGAGAAGGCTCCTCCAGCAATTACCACTGATTTGCTTCTGGGACTTAAGAATTAACTGAATTTATGATTATCTTTGCCATAAACATCTAGATCTGTCACTGGTTCAGAACTCACCCAGTGTCTCAGTGCTCTGACCCTGCTGTGGGGTGGTGTCTGGCAGTCCTCAAAGCAATGGGAGTAAATCCCAGCTGAGCTCTCACTAAGGGGGAACCTCCTGAGCTGGCTGTCCTGCAGGAAAAGCTTTCATTACAGTACAGTCACTTACATGTATCAAAAGATGCAAGTATTTGAGCTGCAAAGCTTTCATTAAGGGGCTTGTTCTTAAATGGTGATTTTAATAGTGCTGTGCCAAAATGTTGCTGCTTCTTGTCCCATGCAGACTTTGCAGATGTGATCCTGGTCACCAGTGAGACGGCTGCTTCAGCTCCTGGCGGGCCGTCTGCTACACAGCCTGGATATACAGAAGGACCATCCAGCAGAACCGTGGTCCTGGTAACTCCAGCATCAGTGGCCTCTTCTGTCAGGAGGACAGCTCTTCCAGCTGTGAGGAAGGTCAGCACGGCTGTAACCTACGGGCTGGACCGGCTGGAGTCAGAAGGTACTGCTGTTCCCCAGCCGAAAAGGCAGGAGGCTTCGTGTGGGGAGGCACGCTTCCCCTGACAGCATGGGCTCCCCTGTTGGTCTGTCTGGCACACAGTTATGTGCATATGTTGCTGTCCCTAATAAAGTTGTTGGACAACCTGTCCCCTTCCAGGTGGTACAGGAGGCTAGCAGTGAGCAGTGTTGTGGAAGATGTCTGAAATTCAGGTGGTTGTGGTGGGAGGGGTGGACTTTTCCTTGGAGGGGGAGCTGCAGTAGGGTCTGGGTCTGTGCACCACTAACTGCTGGTGTGTGCAGAACCTCTGTACCAGGCAGGCAGTCACAGAAACACGTTCAGACAGTTGGAGAGGCCCTGCCACACTGCTAAAGCCCTCACCCCAGATGGGGGTGCTTAGCAGGAGATAGCTGCCTGCGTTCACCGTACCAGAGCAAGTGGTACAATATTTGTGGTCTTCATGTGTCTGTGCTAGGAGGGGTAAAGAATGCAGCCCCTTTAAGATGTTTTCCCATTTTGGCACTGCCTGCTAAACCCTTCTCCCACCCCGGCTCCTCTAGTTGTACCTCACCCCTTGGTCTCCCTTCTCTTAAACTACTTTTTCCTGCTGCTGGGTTTGGAGTTTCTGCTCCCTGTCTGCTGGCCTTCAGGTGCTTGGAACTCAGTGATGCAAATTCTTTCTTGATATGTATTTGACAGGCAGGTTTTTGAAGTGATTTCTACTCTGGAGCCTGTGTGCAACTCAGGCCTGATATTTCTTCAGCTCATTTTTAACTTTCCTGTAGGGAATTGCTTCACTTGTGCTTCTTGCTCTTTCTCCTACTTAAACTCTTCTCTGCTTGCTCATCCATCTACAATTTTGCACTCCAGTGTCTGGGCTGACACCACCTGGCAGGGATTAATCTTTCTGCCTGTTTTGCTCCCCTTCCTTTATCTTGACCTTCTCCTGCCTTCATATTTTACTGCAAAGGTTGGCAGCCCTCCAGGGGTGGCATGCCAGATGGTATTTTTCCTCTGAATAGAGGTAGGGTGCCACAGACAACAGCTAATCAGCATCTTTTCTCCATGTGAAGCGATAACTCTACCTCCTGGTAAGTTTAGAGGGCAGCAGAAGCAGGGAGCCCTCCCCGCTGCATGTGTGAGATGCTGCAGCTCCTGCCCTTTGTCAGGCTTGCTTTGACTCCTTCCAGGAGTTACAGCCCATGCTCCGTGCCCTGGTGAATCTTCCTTGCATCCAGCAATGCAGGGATGTGTCCCTGATGGTGGCAACAGGGGGAGAGGGAGATGTGATGAAAATGTGATCTTCAGGCTGGGAAATAAGGTCCCTGCTTAGCCAGGGCTGTGTGATTCAGGAAGCTAAACAGTTTCTGAGCCCTCTGGGATCTCCTGTGGAAGCCTGGTTTTCTGCACTAGAAGATAAGAGGATTTCTGTTTTAACTGCACACTGGTCCTCCTGTTAATGAGGCTTTCTGCATAGCCTTTAAAAAAAAAAAAGCCTTCTCATACATAGGACTAACTTTTTTTTTGCATTCCTGCTAAGCTTTCTTATGCAGCTGCAGGCCTGTTTCCTCTGCTTCATCTGCTCTTGAATATGCCCCCAGCCCCACTGAGGGCAGGTGCAGGCTGTGGCTAGGAACAGCTTTCCTAAATGAGGGCTCTAACTGGAGCCTGTGGGTTTCTTGGCTCTGAGGCAAGGCTCTGCAGGTACCTGTCATCCAAGGTATGTGGTGTTCTTTGGCATGCTGTGTGTTTTTTGACAACTGGCACAGCTTTTTGTGGTCTAAAACTCTTCATAACAACCTGGACTTTAGTGCCGTGAGCCAGAACTTTCTCTGGTGTCAGGGATCATCACCAATCTACGTCCTGTAAAATGGGACAAATACCACTTGGGGACAGGCTTTCTGCCTGGGGATGCTGCTGCTCCAATTAAGTACAGAGGAAACTTTGGAGCTGCAACTGTTTTTTTCTAATATTTCTTTTTTCTAATGGCAATTAGTGAATACCTCCCTCACATGGTGAAGTGGTGTATGGAAGTTCTGGTTTTTCTTTTCGATCCTTTCTGAATTTCAGTACCTAGTGCTTACTCAAATATCTATGTGCTGCCACAGATGAGATGCGTGGGGGTGCTTTCCTATGGAGCTCCAGCCCAGGCTCTTGGATGTGAGGTTGGACACCACTGCAGGTGTACAATGGAGTCCCCAGGGAGGGACTCTGACCCTCTGCAGGGAGGCTGTGCCTTGCAGGCTGTGCCTTGCTGACCTGTGGAAGAAGTGCAAGGAGCTGAGTGAGATCAGCTGGCCTCCCAGCCCTCAGTGGGGCTGGCTGATTTGCCTGGTTCATCATTAAATATGGACTCCTGCTGTGCAGCTAGCGTGGTTTCTTGGGGACCATCTGTGCTAAACTGCCTGCAGTTAATTGCCTCAGTATATTCACCTGCCTGGCTTGGATGCAAAACTGCTTTTTTTAAAAAAAAAAAACCTCAAGTTGCACAGACAAACATGAGGTGCTTTGAATAGCTTTCTAGATGAGCTTATCCTCATCTCTAGTGGATTCTGGAGAGATTAGTTGAGTACCAAACATCTTCCTACCTTGACTATGCAGTGAGACTGGTTTTACTTGCCCTTCTTAGCCAAGGAAATCCTATAAAGGGATTACAGGGTATGGGAACGGGACACAGCTGAGGATGAGCCTTACTTGTCTGGGAGACTTAATTCTATATTTTGTTCCTTTGCCCAGAACTTGAGCATCTCTCTGGGAAGCTTAACATTGCAGCTTTCTCTGTGGGGCTGTTAGGGTCCAAAGAGAAAATCTAGCTTAACTTGCCTATTCAGGACCACTGTGTAAACCTCCCAACACATTTATTGAAGTGGCTCTTTTAAAATGAACTATTTTACTTTAGGACTAGGTTCCTTGGCCATAATATCAGCCCTGTGCAGGGATGCTGTACTCCTTCAGCATGGCAGCACTTGGCAGATATAATTTCCCCAAGTGGCAAGCAGTCTGTCACAGTCTCTGTTGTGCAAGGTCCTTGCAGTGTTTAGTTGAAGCCCTTGGGGGACAGAGCACAACATCAGCTGGCTCCCCTCAATTCATCAAGCAGCTTCTGTCACTGGTTCATACATGATGTGACTTGGGGATGCATTGGAGCAAAGCAGAAGATTCTAGGAGAACTTTATAGGTCATGTTACCCTAAACCAGCAGGTACAGAACTGGCCTGCTGTTAAGAGTGATGCCTTGCCCATCACAGCCTGTGTCCAAAAAACAGTTCAGTGTGGACAGCTTGCTTAATATCATTGAGATGTAGGCATGTTAATGCTGGGTTGCCTTCCTAGGCTTCTGCTCCTTTAACTTGCAAGTCCCTAGAAGTTCTTCAGCTGCTAGACTCCTGCATGTTCGACCAACCCTTGCTACATCTAAATTTAACAGAGAAAACCAGCCCAAGTTCAGTTCTGCCCACTCCCTGCAGCTGAATAAGCTCCAGCTTGGCCCACCCCAGTATTAACTGGAGATTTAGAGGCTGTTTACTTGTGGTGGTGTTTTGGGGATGCACAACAGAGGGACACAATCTGGTTCTTACTATATTCTTGGGGGGTTTTAAAGGTAATTAAAAAGAAGGGTCTGTTTATGCAGGTATTTTTGCAGGCTCATATGCCCATTGCATTTTTCATGCACTCCTTCAAAAAAAAATTCCAGATGACTACAGCAGTGTGTAAGCCCTCAGCTGGTTTCAGTTCAGTCATCTAGGCTGCTTCAAGTACAGCTGCTGGGGTTGAGCTGCATTCACAGTTCAGCTTTTCACGTAGGCTGCTGGATGGGGAAGATACTTGTAGAAGATGCTCTACTTAGTGCCTGTTGTGTGGTGTCAGGAACATCTCTGAAAATAGGCAACTTAAATTTTCTGTTCTGGAGGGAGGAGAATGTAGTCATACAGCTCTTGAATAGTAGGCTTGATTAATCAGGCTGGCTCTCACCATGTAGCTGGCAAAGTCCTTGTCAATAGTGTGGAGGCATGATCCCAGGGCTGGGAAGGCATGCTGAGAAACTAAAGTTCAGCCAAGAGCTGTGTTGGGTGAATCTGAGTGTGTAAGTATGGAGGTGAAGTTCAGTTCTGAGTCAAGGCTGAGTAACAACTGCCTCGGGGTGGAATTTCACCTTGCTTTTCTTGGCAAATAAATTGAGCATGGTTCCTAACATCAGTAAGTGCTGGTGTGAAAGTGCAAGGAGTGGTAGGGTTGGGTCTGTTGTACAGAGCCACTTGCTGGTGGTAGCAACAAGAGGAGCCAGTTATAGACTGAGGAACCTGTCTGAGCAATGGGGAGGCTGCACTCATGGGTATTGTAACATACATCTAAAGAAAGCAGTGCCCTCAGACTGCTCTAAAAGCTTTCTAACCTCTATAGGAAAACACCAGTCAATTGGTAGGTTGGTTTTTTTTTTTTTTGGATCAACCATCTGACAAGTACCAGGTCCCTGCTGTGTAGGACAGCCCACAGTGTTCCCTGTGAGCTGCTGTATGCCTGCTTAATGCCACATCTGGCTGCAAAGTCTCTCAGCTGTACTGAGACAAGGGGCTGGACCTGCCTTTGAGATCAGCAAATCCAGTGTCTTGTACTTGTAGGGCACCTCTTTGCTGAATCTTGGCTGCAGGTTTAATTCTTATGCTTTGACTACAATAAAGGCTGCTCCAGAACAGGGTCAGTGTGAAGCTTTAGGCTTTGACCTTATCATCATGACATTGTAATGATGCCTCCTTGGTCTCTGGGTTTCAGCATTTCCTGTCACACTTCACTCTGATCTATGTACCTGTATTTATCCTTCCAGCATACAGTGGGGTTTAGCTAATTTCAGTGAGCTCTCCTATTCTTCCCCTTTCTCTACCTATTTTTGGCAGTTCTGTGCTTCCACTTGGTCTTATTCCTGTGCAGAGACATCCAAGCTGTGCATAATACTTAAAAGTGAAGGCAGTAGTTGCCTTTATTTGGGAAAACACTTCAGAACTTGTA